AGATAGCAGAGGATAGCCGTAGATAGCAGAGGATAGCCGTAGATTGCAGAGGATAGTCGTAGATAGCAGAGGATAGTCGTAGATAGCAGAGGATAGCCGTAGATAGCAGAGGATAGCCGTAGATAGCAGAGGATAGCGTAGATAGCAGAGGATAGCCGTAGATAGCAGAGGATAGCCGTAGATTGCAGAGGATAGCCGTAGATTGCAGAGGATAGTCGTAGATTGCAGAGGATAGCCGTAGATTGCAGAGGATAGTCGTAGATTGCAGAGGATAGCCTTAAGTTAGCTTTATGTAATGTTGTGCTCGAGTCACATTGTATTATTGTCAGACAGGTGTTCTTTTATGGATCTGAAGATAAGAATGGCTAGACAAATAAAGAAATAACACCCCACCCCAAACAGATGACAGGCTTTCCCTACACTTACCTGTTTGGAATACAGCAAATAATAACCATAAGATATCTTATACACCAGCTCTACCATTCCTACTGAATTGTCATAGATGAAAGACAGGTTGGATTTACTTTGTTCAAGCAAGGTATGCGCATGTGACAGGTTGCCATGGTAACTGATAAACTTGGCTGCCTCGGCGTAAGCCATGGTGGCAGTGTGGTAGAGTTTGCCAGCGGCTGCAAACTTCCCAAGCAGCTGTAAACAATGAATGACTTGCACCTCCTATGAAAGAAACAAGATTATATTGTACTACATGTATCTTCAAAAGTGGACTCACAACTTGGGGAGAGGAGGGGGGGGTTGTTATCACAATTGCTTAATATCTGGGTGGCTGTGTTTGATTCCCCTAGCTTCAGAGCTGTAATGGGCGATTCCATTTGTTATCTGCACCCCAGTGTTGAGTTCTGTACACTAACATGTCATATTAAGGAGTAGATCTCCCGAGTAAAAAATGAATTACAAGATATTACATGATTACTGCAAAATACTTTATTTTAGCTGGAATTAATTTTCGCTGAATAGACTTTTTATGTGTTTTGTAAGGAATTTATTTTCACTGATTTTTGATGAGTTGAATGTAAAATATAGGAACGATATATTAGTTGGATTTTATTTTCACCTCATCATTCTTTCAGTGAAAATAGCGAAAATTAATTCCAAGTGAAAATAAAGTATTCTACAGTAGTATGGTGTGAATTTTATGGCTTGCTTGGATTCACGCCTTTTTATAGTGAAATATTGGTTGTAAGTCAAGGCTTTTATGATCAAGACATGCATGGTAAATGTTTTTGAGTATAAAGCACTATTCTCCCCAGAAAAACAGCCTACTGTAAAAGCATTAATTTTCACTGGTATTTTAATGTAATAAAAATCGCTAGTCACTATGCTACAAGAATTTCACATAAGGCCAGACTTTTTTTTATTCCTTGTTTTGCGAGTTTTTATAAGGCAATTTTTTTGAGGAGGGGGGAAAAAAATAAAGTTAAATCTTTTTTCCCCATCAGATTTGTGTGATTCTCAAAGAATTGTAAGTGAGATAATTGATCGGAGAGAAGAAATGAAATAAAATTTTATTCCATGTATAACCTTGTTTCTCATCTGCGCGAGACTTCGGTACTTTGATCATGATACTGCCACGAAAATGCATCTTGGATTTGTTATGCAGCAGGCGGTAAAAAAATGAAGATAAAAATAATATTTTTTTAGCATTTTTTCGCGCTTACAAGTCGGTGGGCGCGAAAAATTACGCTGAAATAAAATAATATTTTTATTTCATTTTCGGCTCACGTTCATTCGGCAGGTTCGCGAAACAATGGATAATAAAAGTCTGGCCTAAACATTGTTCTGCACATGTATTGAATGGGTCGCATGGAACCCATATCAACATGACATAGCTCTGAAATATATTTTCAAATATTTTCACATGATAGTCCCCAAAGCAACTTTTAACAAAATACAAGTGTAACGTACCATTAAGCATGCTTTCAAAACTGATACATTTCTAAACTGAGCAGCATAATCTGTCTTGCATCAGTAACAGGTAAACATGCTGAAATTATTTATAACAAGTATACTCGCTTTAAAAATTACGAGTTTTTGTGAAAAGGCAAAGCCAGCTGAAAGACAGCATGGAAGTTAATTTACGCCTAGCCCTGGATGCACAGCGTTGTCAGAGTGGACGTTATTTACATTCTAACTGATTGTCCATACTCAACAACTTATGCAAATTACATCAAATTTGAGATTTTTACAGATAAATCAAGGTTCTGACAGTTACTGTTTTTTTGCGTCTGCTCAATCAAAAACAGTGCACATCAATTTGCTGTATATTCACTTTATTTTTCTATATCAGGATCCATGGCGGTACTGTACAGTAGAATACTGTGGAATACTTTATTTTCGCTGGAATTAATTTTCGCTGAAAAGGCTTTTTGGGCATTTTTTATGGATTTTATTTTCACTGATTTTTGACGAGTTTAATGTGAAATATAGGAAAAAAAGTATATTCGCTGGATTTTATTTTCACGGAATCATCCCTTCAGCGAAAATAGGGAAAATAAATTACAAGCGAAAATAAAGTATTCTACAGTACTTTATTTACGCTTGGAATTAATTTTTGCTGAAGGAATAATTTAGCGAAAATAAAAATCGAGCAAATATACCATAAATTTCATACACAACACCTAAAAAGTATTTTCAACGGGAATTTATTACAGCTACAGTATGTTACAGTATTTGAGCAGACAGCCAGTGACTGAACATAAATATCGCGATGAGATCCAGGGCTAACGTACGCTCAGACAGTACGATAAGTGGGATGGTCGAATTGAGCGCGCTACCCGATGATCACAGTTGTACAAATTACGATGACTCACCCTTTGTGATAGTTTATATATTGATGACAGTACTGTCATGGCTTCACATGTATCCTCCATCACATAGTGTGATTTACAATTCTTCCATATATCCAATGCTTTATCTAGATTCCTGTGTTGATGGATTTCATTCGGAATATCACATGTAATGTCAATCACATCAGTAGTTGTCTCATCAATGATATTGGTTTCCATAAACTGTAATGTAGAGACAAAATCATTTGTTACAGGTCTCCACCAATCAAAAACGAGAATAGACCAATTTGCATAACCCCAGGGGTTTTTCTAAAAAAAAACTGCAAGAGGGAGCACTGCAATTCAGCGGCGCCATTAAGAGGGGGGGGGGGGAGATACGGTTCTCCCCACCAGGGTGTGGAGTTTTTGATAATTCCAAGTTAAAATGGAGCATTCTATGGGATCCTTGGGGCCAAAATTACTATCAGACAGGTCACAGTTGAAGACTGTGGCCACATGTGATCCCTGGTCAATCAGAATGTTATAGTTGCCAGAGGATCAGCCATGGCATGAGGGCGCTGCACCCCTGTTCCCTGTGATTACCTCTTTTACCACAAGACTTTTTTTACCCTAAATTTTCTTTACTTTTTTTTTATATATATTCTTCAATACTTCTGGATATGAACCCTAATTTTGAAGCCAACAGTCAAAATTTGAGTCAACTTTCATCAGTTATTGTTGTCCAATTTTCTGAAGAAAAATGCAGACTATAAATTGTGAATTTGTGATAAAAAGAGGGAATTGGTGGAGAAAATGTTAAACATTTATTCATCAAAAATACTGGGTTCATTTTCATCTACATTTAATTTGTATATGATAAGCAAATATTTGCATATTTATGACTTGTCCACCAATCAAAATCAAGACTGGGTTCATTTTCATCTAATTTGAATATCATTAGCAAATATTTGCATATTTACATGTATGACACGTCCACCAATCAAAATTAAGTCTTACCTTAGTTTGATGTATAATATAATTCCATACATAAACTACAGCGAGTAAATCTAGTATTTTATCATCTTGACTCTCAGATGTAATGTCTTCTAAGATATTCATTGCTTCCTCACAGCATTCATGCATTTCACTGAATAAATCAAGTAAATAATTTTTTTAAACACATTACCAGTATTTTGAATGATTGATTAATATGAGGTTATTACGAGGATACCTCAAAGTATGCATGAAGACAGTACAGTGGAAGTATGGGACGCGACGGCGTACTGTCTGAGTGCATACTTTAAGGCAACCTCTTAATAACCTTATTATTATTAGGATACATCATGGGAATGAACAGAATCTGCAAACTTCTTTGTGTGGAGACCGATCAAACCCTGGTGGCAGGCCTGTTTGTTTTTATTATTAGAGAACGCTTACGTGCATAATCATTCCATATTTGAAATTCGCATTTCCTAATACGGTAGGATGAAAATACCCCGTAAAATTATGACATGCTGTATCTTATGGCGTTACAGTGACAAATGTATAATAATATATTGTATTTGTGCTATTACAATCAAATTTCCATTAAATGTGTACATAAACAAAAAATTTCCATACACTGTTTTTGCTCAATTACTAGGCACGTACATTCTATGGTAAAAAAAGTAATACTTTAAAGACTCAATATTCAACAAACGCAAATTTTTGTTTTTAGGTATTAGAGCAAATAGAGAATTATATAGCAGATAATCTCTCATTTACATCTCAGCATATATACATATAATATCTACACATCATAATTCAAAAACCAACAATGAAAGTGAATCCCACAGACTCAATGACATTAGGGTGCCCTTTGACAGATCGCCATTCTTCAAACTAGCATAACAGTCTTGGCTAGTGCATAAAACTAAAACTAAAGTACTACTACAATTTTCGCTGCTGGTAATTTTCCAGATTCGATAATTTTATAGCTTTCGTGGAGGAAAATGTCTGAAAGACAAATTTTTCAATGCTACAAAAATATACAATTTTCATTGACACAAGGGTATTTCCTCTCTCTAGAAATTAAAGCAATTTATAATATTGTCAAAACAACTGTAAAATATTTTTGCTTTGGATTTGTTCTGCTACCGTGGGGTATTTTCACTGAAGGGATGATTCACCGAAAATTGCTCAAATATACCCTTTTCCCGCTATTTTACATTCAAAATAAATTCCATATAGCACATCCAAATCATTTCAGCAAAATTCAATTCCAGCTAAAATAAAGCATTTTACAGTACTATGCTGAATGGGCCAACCACAAGATTTTAACCTTCAATTTTTCGGATGCTCAATACACACACTAGTTATGCCACATATATCAGGTATCCAGTAATCTTCCAGTTGTCCGTGTGCATCAAATAACAGTTCACATATAGCGCTCAGTGCAAGATGGATTAGCAACCAATCAGTTACATGTTAAATGACATTACTTTATTTTAGCTGGAATTAAATTTTGCCTGTTTTGTATGAATTGAATGCAAAATATATGATATAAAATGCATCTTCACTGCAATTTATTTTCGCAGATTCATCTTGCCAGCAAAAATACTGTAAAATACTTTTTTTTCGCTTGGAATTAATTTTCACTATTTTCGCTGAAGGAATGATTCAGTGAAAAATAAAATCAGGCAAGTATACCCTTTTTCCTACATTTTACATTCAACTTGTCAAAATTCAGTGAAAATAAATCCCATACAAAACACCCAAATAGTCTTTTCAGCGAAAATTAATTCCAGCTAAAATAAAGTATTTCACAGTAGATTTCAAGTGAAAATAAAGTACATGTATGGTTACAGAAACTATTTGAGTTCTTCAACCCTAGTGTCTTTTTCACTCCACAAAAGTCTTTGGTATACAGAGACCAGTAAAACTTGTTTTTTATACTTACTTAGCTGACTTGTCAGACACCATATCAGCTTGGTATGAAAGTTTAGATAACTGTAGTAAGTAGTAAGCTCTCTGTTCTTTGTTATTGTGGCTGACATTATAGATATCTAATAACCCATGAAGCACACTGTACTGCTCCACTGATGTATCGTAACTAGGAAAAGAAATAAAGTAACTGGATTGGTCATACAGCTAACTAGTGTTTTCCCCCAGAAAATACTGTAGAACACGTTGAAATAGCTGCATGCAATTTTAGCAGATTTGACTCTTGGCATGAATTAACAGAATCTTAATTTAGCTAAAGTGATTACTGTAAAATGATTAATTATTCACTGGGTTTTAATTTTGCTTATTTCGCTGACTGGATAATGCGCTAAATTAAAACCCAGTGAATATGTAAAATTTAGCATAGAAATAATAAAACCGTGAATTTAAAACCAACTGAATATGCCTGAAATGGTAAATCAGTGAAATTTAAACCCAGTGAAAATTAGTCATTTTACAGTATCTCATTGTGAGAATATACTTTATGTTAAATTAGCTACATCTTGAATTAGCGAAATTACAGATTACCGGTAGCTAAATTAGCTAATATTACATGCTAGCTAAAAAGTTGCATTTTACAGTAGTATTGGCTAATTTACATAACAATAGGATATGTTAAAGACTGATATTAGTATGCTAATTTGGGTCTATTGCTGCCCAAGGGAGAACCCTGCTAACTGTGTACATTGGACAACTAAATCACCAGACTTCCATGCATGTTCAAACATGGCGACCAAGTTACATATAAAATAACATATGGAGCACTATAATATTGCATGGGAGAGGGGAGATGTTCAAGATGACCAGTTTTAGTCACTCTCATATAGATGTCAGTGTTCTTTCCAAAAACATGACAATACCATCACATTGCAATGTTTTACCTGTCACATTGGTCTGATACTGCCTTAGTGATTTATTACCACTGCGCCCCCTTTGTACATGTACCAATCTAATAAATTTCTGAGAACTGGAAACTTGTGTGTAGTTGTACATTCTTGATTTAATAAAAGGTAATGTAATGTACTGTAATGTAATGTAATGTGTAGACTGGCGCAGTCGGGCGATTAATTTGTTTTTGTAGTTCAAATAAAATAAAAAAATTCGCGAAATGGAGGTGTTAGCGTGAAATCCCCTGTAACTGTGAAATCACCCCAACTGGTTTATTCTGCATGGCCCTCTATCGACACAGCAGGAACCCGTCGATCTTTCAACGGGTAATTATGTTAATGTGTCCTAATTGACAATC